ATAAAAAAGAAATTAAGAAAAAGAAATTGAGATGTGCTATATATGTGTACTGACTCCACACAATGAATGTAAACATTATGTACTGCAAACATATACTAAAAAAGATAAATATTCACTTATTCTATCATGAGAAAAAAGAATTTTATTTAGAAAGTGAAGGTATATAAAGTAGGTATTTAGACAGAAAAATTTAGCTTTGGAAAGAGTCTTTAGATAGTTCAGTGTCAAATGGTCAAAAGGAATGTACATGTAGTCACTGAGTTAACAGGAAATTATTTCACTGAAAGAACAAAAAATGATCACAAAACAGAACTCAGAGTCTCAATATTTCTTGGGAAAAGAGAAAACACTAAGGTTCTGTAGCTTTTCCAGACTGCCCTCAGTCTCACATTTATCTGGTCCCCTAGGCTTAGCCACTGCCTCACCCCTTCCCTATTGATGAGAACCCAAGCATGGTGCATTTCATTTCAAGTTTGTGTTGCAGAGAAAACAAATTTCTTATGGTGGAAATAATTATTTGAAGATTTCAGATCTTGTTTCCAAACCTAGCATTTGGAAGATATTGGGCAAGGACTCATAAGCAGTCCCAGGGGAGCTGGGGTCCAGGAATTTTCATAAAGGAGTGAAGGGAAAAATAATACTGTGGTGTTAGAGAAAGGTAACAAGATGATGTTGCTGAACAAACAGGGCTAGAAATCACTGCTGTATAGATTGTCTTAGTTACTTTTCTGGCTACTGAGACAAAATATCCAACACCCAAAGTTAAGGAAGAAAAGTTTATTTCAGCTCACAGTGTGTAGAGGTTTCAGTTCATAGTGAGCTGGCTACAAGGTAGGGAGGCATGGCAGAGAGGCACAGCAGAGGAGAAACAGTCCATGGCAAGGCAGGCAGATGCAGCAGCAGCAAGCAGCAACAGTGATACAAGTGAGCCTGCCTTTCCCTTTCATCCCAAACAGGCTACCAGCCTGTGAGGTGGTGCTACCCACTCAGGGTGGGCCTTTCTCTTATCCACACCCAGAACTATGCCAGACCAATCAGTGGACTAATATAGTACCACACAGCCTTAATCCTAGTATTGGACACCATCGCTCCAGCCACCTCTGAAAAGCCCTGCCTAGGTGTGCATGAGGCTTTGGAGGGGACATCTAGACAGAAGCCATGACAGGTGCTGTGGGGAAGAGCCTGTAGATCTTAATGGAGTCAGTGCACTGGTGGCTATCTAGGTCCTGGTGCTGCTGCTTGGCCTCCCTCTTGGGCAAGGGGTGGAGCTGTCCTGGAAAGAGCAGCAAAGGCTGTGGGCTTCTGTCCACCTGGACTGCATAGGTCAGTTCACTCGAGTAAAGGATACTGGCTATAAGATGCTATGATGAGAATGGGGCAACTTTCCGGGATCTTTCACCCTCTCAAAAAACTCTCTTTCTGCGTTTTGTTCTCTGAAAACAGCTTCTCATACTTACTCAGCATATCTGTTTCCTTTAAATTCGGGCTTGCACTACATCTTGCTCTCTCTCAGCCCCACAATGCTGGACTCTACCTTGGAGCATCTCTTGATGCTTCCTTCTTCCCTCTTCCTCCCCTCTCTTCAGTTCCCTAATTTCAGCTCTCCCACAGGACTTCTTAGACTCTCTGTTTGTATCATCCCCAGGCCAAACTCGGTCCTCCGTCCCTAAGCCATGCCCTCTGCATGGGGTTGCCTTTGGGCTGTAGTTTTTCCTCTTCCTGTGGCTTGGGAGACAGGACCAGGTGGTAGAAAGCCTGGCCGTGCCTCCAGTATGGAACGGAATTTCACAGAATTGGTTTGTCTTTGGACAAAATTCTTCTCTTTCATACTTTTCTTCATCTTGCTTTTTAAAAGAAAGGCCATCTCACTCCAGAAAAAAGGATAATCAATTTAGGGCTAACCAATGTAATTAAGAAACAAAAAGCCTATATTTCCAGTAAAATTCTCTTTTTAAAGTTTAATAATTATGAAGATTTAATTTGATTTTGGTTTTGGTGACTTATATACTCTGAAGAATTTTATTGAAAAGCTAACCCTGTAAGAAAAAAATGTTAAGACTTCAAGACTTATGATTATAGGAAATGAAAAATATTTTATTTACAGACATATTTAAAATATACAAATTTCAAGCATAAGAATTCATATGGGGAAGTAAAAAGGAAGTATGAATTCAAAATGAAAAATCAGCAATGTAAAATTCATATTAAAGAGCTCGTGGGCAACATTAGAAACTACTGGAGGTGACAATCATATTTTTCTGGCGTTATGACCCATTGGATCCATCTGAAATAATATGGTAATAGTTTTATTTTAAAGGTCAGCATTTACAACAGTCCAGAAATCATCTGCTTCATTTACAAAGAAGATGAAGTTTTTAAACATTTAAAAAAAGGAGGAAAAAAGAGGGGCGGGGTGCATAGTTTCAAAATTCTCATGGGAGGGTAGGAGTGGAGAAAGGTGAAGGCTGTGGAGCTGGTGGGTCACTGGGGAACAGAACACATCCCAGAAGGCAAGGCCCTGGCTCAGTCCTCGGAGCTCTGTGGTTTTGCACACAGTCCTTCCACTGGTCCACTTGGTTTTTCCTGGACAATGGAAATAATTCTTTCCTTACTACACTGTGGTGAGAGTCAATGACTTGTCCTACAAGTGATCAGGACTTGCCCCAGAGCCATTATGGTGCTTCTCTCCCTCCCTCCATTCTCCCTTTCTTCCCTCTCTCCCACAGATTCAAAGTTAGCCTTATTTATATCCTTTACTAGCCTCCCTATTAAATATACTTGCTTTCCATTCCTAAGGTCCCAAAGTATCTTGTAGAAGTTAATTTATTCATCAAATATATATCGAACAATTGCTATATTCCAGACATTACACTGGCCCTGGGAATAAATCTGCAAAATAGAAAAGGACAGAATCCCTGTTGTCAGAGTATATGGTAACTAAGCGCATAGGTACTTAGAGGATGCACTGGGAACGTCCAGTGTTGCAGTGTTCTCTTGGCTAATGGGTGACCAGGTGGGCTTCTGCAAGTTGGTCTGTGCATCCATCCACTCATTTATTCATCTACCCATCTGATTAAAATGTAACGAGGAATTCCCAGATGCTAAGACCATAATCAGCCATTCTCCTCCGGAGGGTCGCCACCGTACCACTGTATTTTAATAAAGTCTGTCTTGTGCACCCTTTATCACAGTATGTGTGGATTATGTATGAAGATTAATCACACCATCTATCTATTTTTTAATGAATATGCAAATTTCTCTGGTCTTCTTTGATTCTGAACTGCTTCTAATTTGAGTATTTAAATATGGAATACAATTTGAATGATTCAGGCCAGTTTGTGTTTTCCTTCCAAAACAATAATTCATTTTATTGGGATTTGCTTCTGGAATGTAACTTTTTGAAAAGGGAATTTAGAGCTATGAATTTAGGCATGGAAAAGGTCTAGGTAATTAAAATGATTCTCTTTCTGTTTCTTTTTGAGACTGTATCATGGAATGCAATTCTACTACTCAGGAATCTAGTTTTCAATAAATACAGCATTGAATTAATTTACTCAGGTTTTATCCAGAAATTTAAAAATAGCTTTCAGGGTTTAACACGCCTGGTTTCCTTCTCTTTCCAGTTCCCATAGGACAAGTCATTTAAAAAGCCCAAGTTTTAAAAATGAGATGTCTCGATTCTTTCAGCCAAAGAGATCTTTGATCAAAGCAGAATGTTTTTAGTAAATTTAAAAAAATATTTTTCTGTTTCTTTAATTAAGTTTATTGGTCCATTTTAGATATACATAATAATCACATTCATCATAGGAAATTTGTACCTGTATATGATGTATCTTGATTTTTTCCCATCCCCCCCTTCAACCCCTCTTCTTATTTACAAAAGCTTTGTTTCCATTTTTCCTTCTTTTTTCATTTTTTCTCCTTTTGCTTCTTTCCATTTCCCTTCCCCCCTCCCTAGTTCCCCTTTCCATTGGAACATTTTCTTCCTAAATTTACAAAATAAAATTCACCATTTTAAAGTTTATAATCCAGTAGCTTTTAGTATATTCAAAATGCTATGCAATCCAAATAACTATCTAATTCCAGAACATTTCCATCACCCCCCCAAATAAACTGTACTTTCCAATGTTTCCCTCCCCTCCCCTTGACAACTACTAATCTCTTTTCTATTTCTATTGATTTGCTTATTACAAACTTTACATATATGGAGTCATGTAATATGTAGCTTTCTCTTAGCAGGTTGTTTTTTCCAGTTCATCCATGTTATAACACATTATTAACATTTCCTTTTTATGGCTGAATAATATTCCATTGTATAGATGTACTACATTTTGCTTATCCATTGATCAACTGATGAATATTTGGGTTGTTTCCACCTTTTGGCTGTTGTGAATATTCATGTACAAGTGTATGTGTGAACACATGTTCAGTTCTCCTGAGCTCATACAGAGCAATGGAATTGCCGGATCCTATGGAAACTCTGCGTTTAACTTTTTGAGGAACTGCCAAAATGTTTTTCCCACAGGGTTTGTACCACTTTATATAAAAATATTTTTACATGTATTTGATGAAATAAGTACAAAATATATAATTCTCTACTAAAATTTTCCTCTTCTAATTTCAAAGAGTGAAAAATGCACTTGAGTGACTTTAACAGTGGTTTTTCAAGGGAAAAGATTAAATAGAACAAAATTTTACTTAGTGGCAAAATGAAGCAATTTCCCATTTCTCAAAAATATATTTATGCCATCTAAAGGACTTGAGACTGCTTCTATTTCTAAGAACAAAAATTGATATTTATTCATTTTAACCATTGCTAAGGAAAGATTGTTACATCAAAAGCCACTGGAGTTCCCCTTTAGAAAACCTTCCCAGAACTCACTGTGAATACTGAAACTGATTATTTTCAACTTTACAAAGTGTGCCATGCCTTGAGAGGTGTATTTATATTTCATACATGCAGACTTTAACTCAAGACTCACAGCCTCACTTGTCAACAGGAGTCTTCCAGAAGAGAGGAGAAGCCGGGCAGGGTTGCTCAAGCAGTTGTGCCTGCCCTGGAGCCCCTTGCTCGTGGTGCTAATGGAGTGCTCTTCCAGATGTACTAAACCCTTTGGCTCAGATCCCTGGTGAGTGTCCTCAGTGTGACCACTTGCTTTACATAATTTCTCCTGAATGTTGGCTCTGTACGTATAAATTATCTGAATGCTTCCTGGGTCAACAAGTCAAGTTCTTCTAGAAATCTGGGGATTAGGTCTGCATTCATGACTCCTTATTATTAACACCAACGCTCTGCTCTTCCCGAAATGCGCCCACATGTCACCAAGTGGGGAGTTGCATGGCTGACATCCCCAGGGTCTTGCTCTCTTACTCACTGGGTCTGAACAGTGAATGCCTTATACACCCAGAGCTCCTGAGTCCCTGAAACCAGTAGAATCCAAACTCAGCATCTCATGAGTGTGGCAGGCAGACTAATGGCTCCCACCGATGTCCACATCTTAATATCTGGAACTCACAAATATTTTGTTACATGGCAAGGAGGCAATGATCTTTGTTTTTAATAGCTACCTCAGTGAGAAGAACAAGCAGAGTCTAGGGTAAAAGGACAGTAACAGGATTCAGATCTGGCATGAACCATACCCTTCAGGAACAACTCTGCCTACAACCTCTGGAGCACATTACCCAACATTTCTGAGTGAGTTACTCTTCTGTGGGAAGTAGAAAACATGTGCCAGGCTGACAGTTTTAATGAGATTAAACGGAGGCCACAACTTTCGTAAGATGCAACCTATGTCATTTACAAATGTCCCAAGGCATAAGAACACATTTAACAAGAAGTACTGGTAAATACAAGTTCAACTTGATTTAAAACAGTTTTTTCCCTGGATTCACCACCTCCTTTCTGGTTTTCCCTAATTTACTTAGTTACTATATTGAAATGTCATCTTGGCCTCCATTACAACGATCATGAATTCCAATAGAATAGTTGGGAGAAGAGAGGCTTCAGTGTAGAAGCTAGAAAATACAGGCTGGACAAATCCCCTCAAGCTCCCATCTTCTAGTCAGGGTCACAGTGTCCTCTGGTTTTCACTATAAAGTGAGCTCCCCTCACTCACCTATGGATCCATTTACAAAGCTGGACGCTTTGTAGATTTCTGCAGTGTTTATCAGCATGTCAGCAAAAGAGAAAGGGCTAGAGGGTGTAGAAGGAAGGCTCATTGAGAACATGGGTCCCAGAGACAAAAATCTGCTACACAGAACCAAGGATAGGCCCAGTCTTCTGTTCTAAAATCACAGAGATGATGTCCATGAAAGATACAACTCCATCACAGCTGTTTTAAGGATCAAATGAGATGATGGATCTTGAAGGTCTGTGACAAATAGAAGAACTAGCGAATGACTGTGCATGTTTGGCGGCCATTTTTGATTGCATCTCTTAAAATGCAATTACAATTTGCTGATAATAATGATGTCAGCCCAGTTGGATTTCTGCTTCACCTGTAAGGTCCTGAATCACCTAACTCTTCTCTGATGATTTCATAACATTTCCTTTTTCCTCCAAACTATTCTTCCAGTCCAGCTAGATTTCCTCCTGTCTACCCTCCTTGTAACTGGTTCCACTTAGTGACATTCAGGATACACCGGTCTCAGCAGTGTCCCTGAACACAAGGCCTTCCTTCCTGCTCTTCTCCAGTTTTCATTATATGGTCAGGTCCCTTCATTCACCTGTGGATCCAGTTCTGACCTTCAGGATGTCCCCACTGTTCCTTCACAGTGCGGATTACACTAAATGGTGTCCAGTATGTCTTTCCTGAATCCTCTCATAGAGGAAAGGTGATGATGGCAGCCAGAGAGAGGATATAATATCTGTGCTGTGCCTGGTGATGAACCAGCTGGCAGTAGTATCTTTTGGAAATGGAAAAGAAAAGCTTTCTGGAACTAATTACTTCACTCTCTTTTTAGTTTGTTTCATGTGAAAATGAACAGTGTGAGTTAATGTGCATTTTTGTTTTTCCACAGGTCATTTATACTCATTCTGTTTTCTATACCACATGTGTATGGGGTAAGAACATTAATTTATTCTGATTGCACATTGAAAATTAACTTTATTAAATGGGTGGTTTTTGTATACTTTTAAAGTCTCTCTATGGGGCTTAATCTTCTCATTTGTAAGATGAGGTTTGGACTACATAAATGTTGACATTTCTTTAATATTTCATGGTTAGGATTGCTTATAGAATTGCCTAAATATTGGAGATGGCTTTATTTTACAACTAATCTGTCCTTTCTAAAAACCTTTTTGAGCTAGGCAAGAGGCAGCTGGGACATTTCAAGGACGAACCAAGAACTATAAGATTAAATTTGAACATTTTAGCTCTGGAGAAAGATAAGCCCAGAACATTTTGTAATAAGCCCTCTTTCTTTTGCCTCCGCACTAAAGAATCTGAGTTACTGAAACCTCAGAAGTTTTTGAGAAATCCTGGTGTGAGCTGCCTATAACTCAGGTTGATCTTGAGACAACTGCCACTGATTTGTCTCTTAGCCTGAGGCTCAGTTTTCTCCAATGTTAAGTGGGAACCACACAATTTGCCCCACTTAATCCGCATGCGTTCAAGAGCATCGCTTCAACACTGTAGTGAATGGAAACACATCGTGATATGCATGTGTGTGCATTTTTCCACTTATCTTACCTGACTTTTCTAATTTTTTTATATTATATTTTTTTGTTTTCTATTTTCAAAGTCTTCAGAGTCCTAAATTTAGCTTTGTTTGCTCCTTAAGTTCCATGCATGTGAATATATAATTCCCAAAGCAAGGACTGTTCTTTTCTGAGCCTCCCACCACTTTGTGGTACACAGAGATTCTAGGGCTTTCACACACTGACTGGCTGCAGGATAACTGGATTTTAAAGAGAGGTACAAATTGATGCAGTGTCTGTGGAATGCAATTTGGCATTATCCATCAGGATTTTAAATGCACACACCTATTAACACAGGATTACCCCTTCTCTGGAGTTTATCACACATGCTCAGGAGGATGTAGGAGAATTAATGGCAGAGTAAAGTTCAGCAGCTAAAGGAGGGAGAGACCTAAGTGCCAGCAATTGGGAATGGTTAATCAAGTGGTGAGCTCATGTGACTATATGGATTACTTTGGAATGACTGTGAAGACAAATGATTATATGAAAACAGCAGAATATGTGTGTGTGTCTGTGTATGAGCATGTGTCTTAGTTACTTTTCTTGTTGCTGAGACAAGATACCCAACACTCAAAGTTAAAGGGGGAAAGGTTTATTTTGCCTCACAGTCTGTAGAGGTTTTAGTCCATAATTGGCTGGTTCCAAGGCAGGGTGGCATGGTAGAGGGGCATCACAGAGGAGAAACAGTGCATGGCATGCAGAAGGCAGCAAAAGCAGCAAGCAGCAAGTAACAGCAGCAGCCCTCTTTCTATCCCTTATATTTTATCCAGGCTATACAACCTTAGAGCGGGTGGCACTCACATGCAGGGTGGGCCTTCCCATTATCCACACCCAGAACTATGCCCAGCCAATCAGTGGAGTAATTTATTAATCACATATCCTTAATCCCAGCATCACACATTCTAGATCCACCTCTGAAAAGCCCCACCATCGTCTGCATGAGGCTTTGGGAGGACATCTAGACACCAGCCCCAACAGCCTATGACCCCATTTGTTCACATGTATTCCCGTATATGTGTGTGTAATCACAGTGTGAATATATTTAGTCGTGCCCAGACACCAATTTAAAGACAGTGACCCTCCAGGGAAGGGAACTTGAAAATTTCTTTTCCTGTTATACTCTTTTGTACTATTGGATTTTTCACCTTGTGTCTATATTACTTGTTTTACCCAAAAGAAAATAAGGGTACAAATGAAAGATGGTGAATCTTCTAAAAATTAACAACATTTTCTTGGACTTGCTAGCCAATATTCATTTAAAAAATGTCTGAGGTTAAGCAGACAGTGCATTTACCTATCGTTCCCTTTGAGGAAGAGTAACATTGCCTTTTGAGAGTTAAGTAAATTCCCAAAGGTAGTGGCTCATATTTTTCAAGTTTACCTGTCTTTATCTTTTTCTTCAGGTTTATACAATCTATTTTTGAGGTGCAGATTCCTTCTCTATGAATTTGCCATCCCTTTTAAGTATTTATTGGGATATTTCTTTATTAGAATCTGCTAACCTATTTTAAACCGATTCTTCCCTGAAATGTAATTCTGCTACAAACACCTCAATGATATTTGACCAAAAAAAAAAGAAAGAAAAGAAAAAATAAATAAATGACAAAGCTGTTTTTTATTATCAAGCCATCTAATCAACTGCCCTTCTTTTTCTCTGGTTATTTTGATATTTCAGTGAATACACAGTAATGAATCCCAACCTTAAATGAACCCAAGTACTCAGACAGGTATTGAAGTGCTTTTGTGCTGTCCTGACCTGGCCCGGGGTTTTTCATTTTTTTAAAACTTTATCAGGATTTTGAACTTATGTATTTACAGATAACAATGTTACTCAAAACTTAAGAGGCATATATTTCTGAAACTTCAAATACATTTCTAAACTTACATTACCTAATTGCCTGGCTCTTGTGGAGCTTTAAATTCTTATATACCTTTTAATGGCCCATGGGAATTTTGTTTATAAGATGGTTTTTTCATTAATGCTTAAAGATATTTCTTTTGGATTTTTTGTCTAAGCTCATTTTCTACCCAAAAGAAGTCTAAATTGTATGATTGAAAAATATTGTTGGAATCTATCTGTCTACGTATGTATACTTGTGCACGTATGTATATATTTTACATACTCATACATATGAATGTATTTCTCCCATCAGAACTATAAATATTGGCTTAACTATTTATGTTTTCATTATATATTGGTCTAATGACGTAAGTTTACAGCCTCGAGTTTGAAAAGATTTATCAATTATAGCAATGTGTATTCACTGTGTAGGTGCAAGGGCTGGACTAGGCAGTTCATCTCTGATGGCTTCTTGATGTCCCTATCCATGCCCTCAGCCCTCAGCACCTAGAGCTGTTTTCATCCCCACTTGGAGGCCTAACCCACCTCTCCTACACCCACAGGCTCAGCCTCCGAATGGAAGCAGATGCATCACGGTGGCTGTTTGTCATAGGGATCTGCCCGCAGAAATAGTTGCTCTACACTTTGTGTTGAAATGGCTGATGAATCTGGATATAGATGATAAGGGTTTGTGAGACTACAGTAGTGATTCTTCTCTAAAGGCATGCAGGCGTGTGTATGCGAGTGTATGAATGAGTGTGTGTGTATGTGTGTGTATGCCTGTATGTTGGTGTTGTAAAGATAGTGTTGAAGAAAAGTCAGCCAAAAGTGAGAAAGGCAGATTATTCCAGTTCAGAATCTTTCTGATTGAGGGACACATTAGAGAAACAATCCTGGAATATCAGCAAATTGCAGGGAAAACAATTTTAAACTGCCCAGGGCTGAGACTAGAGAATTGTCCTAGGAAGGACTCAATGAGAAAGACATATCTGAGCTGATATAGGGACAAGGCAGGGAAGCCTCGGGAAAAAAGTCAAAGGTGTCATTTAAACTGAAATCCCTGTGTACGTAGGTTTGTCGAATTGTGTCATTTACTCTCTAAGATTATTCACAGCACAGTAAACTAAGTCTTTTTTTTTTTTTTTTTCTTCGGTACCAGGGATCGAACTCGGGTCTTTGCGCTTGCGCAGCAGGCAGTGAAACCACTGAGCTAAATCCCCGGCCCTAAACTAAGTCTTACTGGCAGGGGAAAATTACAAAGCCTTGGCCAAACCAAAGTATCTTCAGAAGGAAGTTTTTTTTTCTTTTCAGTGTCCTTGGTGTTGGGAGCTCATTGCTCAAATAACCAACACCCCCTCATTAGTTAGCCTCAGTGTAGTTGCTTTGCCTTTTTATATATCAATATTAGTCTCTGTTTCACTGGGACCCACTGTGGTAAGTGTGCTGTGGCATTCTTATGAGCTAGGCAAGCCAAGAGTGCGTGCTATCATATGTATTTTATTTGTTCAACCAAGTGATGAGGACTGACTGGCATACTAAAGGAGCTGCTTCGCTTTCCAGGGTGGAAAGAAGTATATCAGTCCATGTGGAGGAAGAGACTGCTCTGTTTGCCAGTGCTTTCCTGAAAAGGGGTCCCGGGTAAGTGATATAAAAATCAATATCAATATCGACAGCACAGCTCAATTTTGAGCCATTGTGAATATTTATTGTCATCAAATCCTTAGCATATTTTGATTGTCGCTAATGTTTGTGCCTCTAACAATCAAAGTTCTTCACAGTCTGAGAAGCAATCACAATTACGTTACACTGTGCGTCCAGCTCAGAAAGCTGTGTGGACAGCAGTGGTTCAGCCCGTGTTTTATGTAACACAAGTCTTGGGAATTGCCCTATGAAGAGAGGGTCCTGGTGATACATGCTGGATACTGGATCACCTCCTTCACATCTGGGTTGAAGATCAGCTTTTTCAAAGCTCTAAGAAGTGCAGCAATGAGTCGGGGTGGGGGTGGGGCTTTAATTTTATTTAAATCGTCTTCCCAGACATTTAACCAGAAGACTCTTTTGTGGATAGCACATATTGACACCTGTGAGATAGTGTTGTAATCAGAGCCATAGCTGCATTCATTGCATGCTTATTTCCAAGTCCTGTCCTATGATCTCAACAGCTTCTCTCATTGACTCCTCACAACCTCCTTAATCGAACCGACTTGGCACAGAGCAGGTGAGGACTTGCTCAAGCCCACCCAGAACAGTGCTCTGTTATCTAGTCTGCAAAGTGCAGAAACCCTCTTAGTCATCCTTAGGTTTCTTGGACTTTTATAAACATCTGTTTTATAGCCTGTCACTGGCAATTGGCAGGCCACAGATTCATTTGTGCTGAAGTCTTAGATCCAAAAATTCTTTGATTAAAAATACACTCATGACTTTTATATACATATATGGAAATACCACTCTGTGTCCTTTAAATATATACAATTATATGTCCATTTACAATTTCTAAATTTAAAAAATACTCCCACAATCTTACCAGGAAGAAGTATGTTTCTGAAGCTTTGGGCCATGTTTGAGTCAGGGCAATGATTCTTTTGAAATGAGTCTTCATCCATTCAGGCTGCTGAAAGAAAATACTTTAGACTGGGGACCTCAGACACCAGAAATCTGTTTCTTTTTTTTTTTTTTAAACTTTTTTGTTTTTTGGTACCAGGGATCAAACTCAGGTCCTTGCACTTGTGAGGCAGGCAGCGGAACCACTGAGCTAAATCCCTGGCCAGAAATCTGTTTAAGATCAAGGCACAGGCACACCTGGCATCTGGTGAGGATTCTCTCCCCAGTTTGCAGATGGCTGTCTTTTCCCCGTTTCCTCACATGGTGGAGAGATCCCTGGGGTTATTTTACAAGGGCTCTAATCCCACTCGGGATTAGCTTCCTTCTCCTGACCAAGTTCCCAATTCTCTTAATTCCCTATCTCTTAATACTGTCACTTTGAGGCTTGGAGTTTCAATATATAAATTTTGGAGAGACACAAACATCATTGATATGGTAGGGTTCATATCAGTCCCACTGGGGTATGAGTGACACTCAAAAAGCGTGAGTTAGTAAAGATGGGTCTTTACTGCAAAACATGACCTTCCCAAGAGAAGGGACCAAGTACTTCTCTGATCATATTGCTTGATTGTCACACAGTCACTGAGCAGTCTGTTTGGCTTCCTTTGTTGAGCTGTCTTACTAAGATGCACTTCAGCTTCTCAATGTACGTGCGCAAATTATTTACCAAAAATCTGACTTTTGCGTGAGTATTGATTTATTTGTACTAGGGATTGAACCGAGGGGCACTCTACCCCTGAGCTACAGCCCTAGCAATTTTTATTTTGAGGCAGGGTCACACTCTGTGGTCCAGGCTGGCTGTGAATTCATAATCCTTCTGATTCAGACTTCTGAGTAGCTAGGACTATAGGCATGGGCCACTGTGTAAAGTGATTAAAACAAATATGTCAAGAAAAAGCTACCTCGGTGCTTCTAAAATTCAAGATCTTTGGGCTTTGAGACCCAAGAAAAATGAATGTGATTGGCTCTGTGGCAGAACAGGGAAATCACAAAACGAAGAGGCTCCGTTGCTTTGATAGAGAAGCTTGGTGGGTCACCTGGTTTAAATGAGCCTGAAGTTCTTTTCCCAGCAGCGCCATGTGCCTTTAGAAATGCCAGTCCTTCTAATTCAGTGGTTCCCAGCTGGGGTTTGGGACACCTGGCAGTGTCGAGGCAGTTTCAGGGTGGCACAGCTGGGTGGAGGGCTGCTAAGGGGTGGGTAGAGGCCGGGGGTGCCAGGCAGCATCGTACAATGCCTGGCACAGCTTCCACATCCCAGAATCATCTGTCCCCACCTGCCAACAGTGCCCAGGTGGAGAGGCCCTGTTCTCACCTGACAATGGCTCCAGGAGGCACGTGTTATTATTATTTCCACCTGACAAACACAAGGAACCAGAATTCCCAAGAGTTCTTTCTAATTAACTCACTAACAGGTGGGCAAGCCAGGAAGCACATCCAGGTGTCTGGCTCCAACTCCGGCACTTGCTCCATGATCATGGAAAGATGATTATGTGAAGGTTCCAACACCTGGCTTTAGCATGACTTGTGGACTCAGGTGGGCACGTTAATGGGACCAAGCCTCATTTTCCTTGGGTTTGTCCCACTGGTCCACTTTCCTTCTATTTTCCTGGTCTGTTAAACAGTCATAAGCCAGTGCTTGTATAGAGGATGAAGGCTGTCTGTGGACAACAAGGGCTCACAGGCCGGAGCTGCTCTCTCCACTGTGTCCCTGATTCTGGGTGGCCAGGGACGCCTGTGTATGTAACACCAGGAAACCTCTGTCCTTCCTGAGTGGGTGGCTTCTCCCTGTGAGGGCTGTAGGTGTGGGTGACCTTTTCCATCAGAGAACATGGGAAAGGGGCCCATTCATAACTAGGAGGCAGTTCAGGAGGTGGTGTTCTCAGGCCTCAGCAGCCAGCCTTCATCTGCAGGTCAAGGTGGATAATAAAAAGAGGATGACATTCAATTCCAGAGGTCCTTGAGGCTGCCCAATCCATTTGTAGTACAGCCAGCTATTCCCAAGGAGGAAATGGTTCCTCGCTTGTGGACTAATTCCCGAGTAGTTTGTTCAATCCCCACATCAGAACTTTTGTGTTTGAAGCAACTGTTGACAAGCAAGGCTGGCCCTGAGCAGGGGAATGGCTGTGACAGCTGGCATCTTACCTGGAGCCCGGGGCTAGGGCTGTAGGGTCCCTAAGGCAGAGAACCCACTGTGGCTCCTTTGATGCCCAGAATAAAGTTCAGCCTCATCATTATACCCGGGAGGCCCACAGTCCAGCCTCAACTTGTTCCTTTGCCCACACTCGCCATTCCCGACCCTTTGGCTGTCTCCAGCTCTCTCCAGAAGCCATTCTGAACATCCCAACTTCTGCGTCCCTTTCTAAAGACCTCCCCACTTCCACCCTGGTGCCATCTCTGCAGGGCACCACCCCGCAGGCTTCCTCCTCGTCCCAGCCACACTGCCCTCTCCTGCTCAGGGAACCAGGCTCCACCCCAGTTTTCTTCCACTGTGCTTCACGCTGCCCTGTGTCTCCAGCTGCATCTAAGTGTAGCTCTGCTCAACCCTCTTGATTGGATCACAAGCATGCACTCCTCAAGATGGTCCTGAGAACAGTGGGAAAAGTTCATCCTGACTCCTGACCCATAGTAGACACCCTAGAAAAAGAAGTTTTCTACATTCATTTCTTCCTTTGGGAACTGGGGGTTATTTTCTTGAACTGCTTTGAGATTATCACAGTAGAAGGCCCATTAGCAGTTCATGCACATAAGCTGATAGATTAAAGACTGCAGCCTGCACAGGGATTGGGAACCTGAGCCATGGCCAGGCCAGCATGCAGAGGATCTATTTCTAGGGGGAACTGCTTTTTCTAAGAGAAGGGGGAGACAGTTAGCAGAGTCTATTCCCAGCCCCAGCCTTCCTTCTCACATACTAGCATGGAAGCCTGCTGTGGAATGAGTAATCGCTCACAGTTCTGATTTCCTTGTAAATTTGGAGTAGATCCAGACATAAGTGTGTTGGGCAGATGTTCACTAAGGCCACTGCTGCACTCTGGACTTTACAAGGGGCAATGGCACCTTGCAAAGAGCTCCAGGCTTAGGATAGGAGGTAGGTGCTTACACTTTGACCTTGCAAACAAGAACCAGGCTTAAGGTAGGAGTGGCTATGTGTCTAAATGTATTCCAAGCTCCCACCTGGGAATAAGTTTGCACTAGAAGGCGGGACTTGTCCTTCCTGGCTCTACTATCCCAGGCTTCTAAGATGGGCCATGGTTTTTCACATACTTAATTGGTTTCCAAAATGATTTTGACTCTGCCCTACAAGTTCCCCAAATTTTATTTAAATTCCTCTAGAAAGATGGGAATGAAATGGAACTGAGTAGGTCTTTAAATTATTATTTTTCAGTTTCAAGGGAAAGGATGGGGTCTTTTATAAGCTCTGCTTTAATAAGCACGGTGATAATAAAGACAGCTTCTATCACTTAGTACAGAAAGATGGATTTATGCTGCCTACTACTTAAGAGAGCTTAGCAACTGTAAAATCAACAAAACTTTGTGAGGTGGTAGCTTTTTATACAAGGAGGTAAAATAGCTTAAAACTCGAAGACTATCTTTTTTCTTGTTTGAAAGTCAAAATCAAACATTAACAAGTCACTCTTGGAAATTTTAAATCATTAAAATATGTACAATAGAAGTATTCTCCTGCAGTCTCATTAACTGGTCCCTTATAACTTTAAGAGCCTTCATTCAATGATAAAAATGGAATTTGCTTGGGGAATTTTAATTATTGTTAATGTTTTTCATATCACTAAGTTATTTGCACACTAAATTCTCAAACTCAATCTCTATCACTCACACAGCTGTGTTTGGGGCCACACTCTCACTTTATCTTGGATGAGTAATTCAGAACAATAATTTTTACATCCCAAAATTCACATAAGTGTGTTCTATTTTGATGGAAGCAAGATCCAGTAACAACAGGAAATCAGTAGAGTTGGTCTGTAACCAACTCCGTAGCTTTTTTATTTTGCTTTCTTATTTTTCTTGTCACAGTTTCTTTC